ATACACCTTGGAAAAGACCTTGGCTGCATTTCATCTGTGCTCTGAGACTTTGTTGGGGGCAGAGTTTAAGGATGTTTGATTTTAAGCAGTGCAGAATTCAGGTACTACAAGCTGCTTTTAGTCAAACTTACAGTAAGAACTGGGGTCAGAAAGTGACAGAGGAGTAAAATTTGGAAAATTCCCAGTTTGGCCACCAAAGGAGCACAAGTACAAGTGTATCCAAGGCAAGGGGAGGTGGTAAAGAAATGAGTGCCATTAAAAAGAAGCCTTGTTCTTTGCACCAGAACAAAAGGAAAGAAAGCATGTTGGCATCTCAGAAGTTGACAAGGTCATTGCAGGCTAAACAGGGTTGACATGCAGATTTGTTTCTAAGGCTTTGCAGGCTCTTTCAGACTAAAGACCTGGGGCACTTGGATTTTCCACGACAGCTTGAGCCAAGAAGAAACTCAGAAGCCACTGCAGCTCTGGCTCAAGTGCGTCCTGGTACAGCTCAGATCCATGACACATTTGGCATCATTACGTGATGCTGGTCCTGCAGGTATGCAGAATGCAAGAGGTGTGCAATCACGGAGGCTTCTCTTGGAATTTCAAAAGAAAGCCTGGGAGGCCAGACAATGTTCAGCAAGGTAGTGTTTGTGAAAGCAATGGGTGATGTATGGAGCCATCAGATGAAGCCAATGTCACGGCTGGGGCTGAGGGAGTTAATGATGCTGGTGACATGGAACACCCAAAGTGGGATGCTATAGGAATTGTGAAAATCCAGCCCAAGTGAACAGGTGTGTGTGCTGCAGCCAGAACTAGGAATTAGTGATATTATTTTCTCATCTCTTGGTTAATCTAATTATTCCAAAACCATTTGTTCTAATGTTTTAATATCTTCCTTCATTTAGAATGCCTTTTTAAAAACCAGTTGTCTAGGAGGTTGTATGTAATATGGCAAACTTAAGGCATTTCTACCTAAATGGATGCATCTTGAGACCACACTCTTAAGTGAAATAAATCAGGCACACATATTAATACTGCATTGTTTCTCTGGTGTGAGAAACAGAAAGTGTAAACAAGGACCAAAATGTATAATAGAGATTAGGAAATGGGAAGAAAATGCTCAAATGAGAAGGAGAACAAGGGAGGGAGAAAGGAAGGAAAAGATAAGAAAGGAAAGAATAGAAGGAAAAAATTGAAACAATACTTTTGTAAATAAGGAGGGGAAAGTAGTTGAAGGGAGGGGAGGGGAGTGGGAAAAAAGAAGAAGGAAGATATATCATGTACAGGTACAAATTCCCTATGTTAATGTTATCATTATGTATATCTAAAATGTATCAATAAAAATAAATTAGAATATGACTGTGCAGACTGAATGTACTTCTGACATGCTAATTTATCTCATTATTCTATTTGCAGTCCTGTAAGATTAGGTACTTTAATGTTGTAAGTTGAAAGTATGTTTTGAAAGAAAAATTTGGAAGTTCTTTATCAATTTACTTTAAATGATATTTTATTACTCAACATCACTTAGCTTGACATGAATTTGACACAAAATAATTCTAAAGAAAGAAAGCTAGAAAGCTAAGAGGAAAGGGAGGAAGTAAAAAAGGAAGGAAGGTAGGAAAGAAGGAAGGAAAAAAGAAAATAAATTGCTTGGAAGTAGTTCGGAATTTCATTATATTGGAGAACAACGTAAGGAAAATATATCAACAAAGATTTATGACCTATCAACCATTATATACTTTTAAAAAATATTTATCAGTAATATTTTCTTTTTTACAATTTTGGATGTTATTCAATTTTTCAGTATATTTTACATGATTCAGTCTGTGGCAAATTAAAATTGTATTTTTTATTTAAAAAAGTGTTTTGAAGTCACATTCTTTGGTACTGCATATTTCCTATGTTAGATTTAATTTTGTTGGGTACACTGCTTCATCTTTAACATAAACAATCTCATCACTTTTAACTTAAAATCATGTCACTTCTGAATTTATCATCACAATTTTCAATTTTTAAGAAAAACTTTTTTAATAAAGAAAAGGTTATGTGCATTGGATAGGACCTCTTTGTAGTATTCATAGAGATAGTGAATGGTTAATCTCTTATTTGATCCTTATTTGTATATGAAATATCATACTGTACTCCATAACTATATAAAATTATTATACTAGAATAGAGAAATATAATTTTCTGTGCTTAATATTTGAACAGATGTGTTATCTCATTAAAGATAATTATTAAATCTCCATGAAGAGGTCTACCTTTTATTATTCCAGTTATTAATCAAATGTCTAAGTCTGGGAACATTATGAGTAAGAGCAGAGAGTTAATCTCACAGCTGCAGAGGACAAAAGTCCAAGATCAGGTCACCCTATCTCTTTGACTCTTGATGAGACCTCCTGGCAAGTAGCATCGCATCATGGAAGGAGCCAGACAAAAACCCAAAGAGAGATTCTGGCTCAGGATCACTGTTATACCAAGCCACTCTCATGGGAGCTATCTGGTGCCCCATGAAAAATACACTCATCCCCTAAGAGGGTGCCAGCCAGATGACAGGGACCATCTCTGAAAGGCCCCCCACACCAGTACCTCCACAGAGGGGAACAGGCAGCCTACACATTGAGTTTGGGGAACACACTCAGGCCATGACCAAACAGCATCATGAAATCTCAGGTGTGATCCACAAAGAGTGAGCCAGAAGAATCATACACCAGGAAAGAATAGTTAGTTTTATTTTTTGTGTGTATTCCTGATTTTATTGTGGCTGAGTTTCATCCATACTTTTTTATTTCAAACATGCGTGTTTGCATGTGCCCCATTTCCGTCAGTGACAAAGAATAGAAGTGGTAGCACCCAATGTTAATGCACGCGTCCAATATCTACCTCTTTATCAATATGCTTCCTCAGTAAATCAAAATGGCTCACTGTGGAGGTGTGGCTGGCATGGGGTCTGGATTTGATTTGGGAACATCTGGACATGCCAGAAAGTGAGGAAGTGCTCAAAGTAAACAGAGTGAGGGTGTGTGAGAGTGCTCAGCAGTGTGAGTGTGGATGAGTCACAGTGCCCAACAGTGAGCACACCACAATATTCAATAGTTAGACTGGGGGTGCATCAAAAGGACTCAGGGACAACAAGGAAGGGCACCTACAGGACAAACCTGGAACAACTGAAGCAATTAAATAAATGCAGAAATAAATACAGAGTATTAGATTCCATTCTCAAGTGAATATGCATGACCACATAGAGATGTGAATCAGAATTGAATAAATAAATGAGTGACTCTGTATATGACCAGGATCCTAAAGGCAAACAGTAATTATCTTTATCTCTGTGTATATCTATATAACTATCTATTTGTCTTTTCATCTATCTGTATATGTAGTAATATTTATTTGTATCAACACAAGTTTAATTGACATATAAAAGTACTCAAATGGTGCTTATCATGGACACTCTGCTGTGCAGTTCACACATAAAGTTACCTGTTATGTTTTGTAAAGATCTAGAAGGGAAGAGCTTGATGGCTCCAAATGCAGGGAATGATAAGGACATGGAGTGCTAATTAGCCACTTTGATCAGTGCACACTGTACGCATGTGATGAAATATCACAATTAATTCTGTTAATATATATAATAGATAGGGATTGAAAAAATGATTTCATCTTACTCTTTCATTCCCTAATTTGTGCCTTTGAGACTGGAGGGCAGATTGTAGAGTCCACGCTGTTGGGGCCTCATAATGATGAGAAATGGAGCTGGGGACTGATCTCTTCCACCACTTATTCCTGCAATCTCATGCACAGGCCCAGACCTCAGAATGAAAACTGTCAGGTGGACCATCAAGGGGACTTACTTTCTAAGACAGATAATGCCTCCATCATTAAGGAGATTTCTTCTTCTGTAAAATACGGAGTGCAGATTCATTGCCAGGATTTATAAATGTTCTTGCACCAGTGAAATAGAAAATATTTCACTTAAACTACAATCTACCAATACTGAACAAAAAATGGACACCAGAAATTTGCGACTGAGTCCTTGAAGATCAGTCACTGGGCACCACATGTGAATCAGTGAGCAGAGTGGTGGTTTTTTATTCCCAGCTTTACTTTTCCAGTTGTGAGGAGGTTCATGCTCATCAATGTTCTCCAACAAGGTGGGAGTCTATAGGCCCAGGGTTTCCAAGCAAAAACTCAGGTGTCTATAGGAAAATCAAGCTTTGTTGCTGAGTTCTCTTTTACCAATGCTAGAAATCGACATGTGAGCAAAATTATCTACACCACACTAAAAATGAAATGCATGCTTCTACTAATGAACACATCTCCACTCCATAGAAACCCATCAAATCCATACTCCTGACTGCACTTCACATGGAGAAACATAAACCCAAGTTACATGAGTCACTCAAGCCCTTTTGACTTATGACACATCTTGTGTCAGAGTCATTTTACTCTGAACTAAATGGGATTGCAACATTTTGCTCCTGTCACACTATTTTGGAATATTCATGTTTTTAATATGAGCATAGGAAAATGGAAATGGGTTTGAGTTAGAATACTTCACTTGAGAGCATATGTTTATGACTGTACTTACCTGTATTGCCTATCATGTTGTGTGAATGTACCTATATGTACATAAACAAATGTCCAATACTAAACATGTATTGTCTTGGTAATTCCTGGGGCCTGAGGAGTGGTTTCTATAGCCCCAATTTTTTTTATCTGTGAATATATCCAGCTCCATGAAAGATTGTCTGCCTCATGTCCTGTCCTGGAATAAGAACACGTAGGCCTGCAGTGGACCCCAGGAAGAGCTCTGAGCTCTCTGAGGGCACAATCAATATCATACACTGATATTGAGCAACAGGGACCTCCCATTCCCTCTCTCACTCATGTTTTCATATACAAGTGTACATCACTTATGCAAATATCTAATTATACAACCAAATTAAAACACAACAAGCCTTTGCTTAAATTCAGGTTCTCTGTCAATCTTGAAGATATCTTCCGTGGATATAATCTGCAAGAACATGGAACATTCTTGGTTCCTCCTTTTTCTAGGGGTGGTTCCCAGAGGTGAGAGTTTAAAGGATTCAGATAGGAAGACATGGACAAGCTGCTTCTGACCCAGGATTCACTGTGGTTTTCTGTTCCCAGGTGTCCTGTCCCAGGTGCAGCTGCAGGAGTCGGGGCCTGGCCTGGTGAAGCCCTCACAGGCCCTGTCCCTCATCTGCTCAGTCTCTGGTTACTCCATCACCAGTGGTTATTATTGGAGCTGGATCCGCCAGCCCCAAGGGAAGGGGCTGCAGTGGATGGGGTGGATTAGTAGTGGTGGAAGCACAGCTTATAATCCGTCCCTGAAGAGCCAAATCAGCATCTCCAGAGACACGTCCAAGAACCAGTTCTCTCTGCAGCTTAACTCTGTGACAGCTGAGGACACCGCCATGTATTACTGTGCAAGAGACACAGTGAGAGGACATCAGTGTGAGCCCAGTCATAAACCTCCACGCAGGAGTGCTTCGGACCAGCAGGGAGTGATGGGGATACATCGAGCACCTCACAGGGCTTCAGAAACAGGTGCAGAGAAGGAAGCTGGGGAGTGAAGGCTTCCTGTTGGCCTCTGGGGTTTTCTCTCTGTCTTAACATCATATGATCTGAAGAGACCCTGGAGTACATCTGCTATAATTGACTATGCAGAATCACTTCCAAAGAAAATAAAGGGTATTTTATTTGTTAAACTTTAGTTCATATGTGTGTGTTTAGTTATTCATTTATTTCTGTTCATGCTTTATCATTTGAATGTTTTGGAAACCAAATACATCTTGTATCATCCAAAAGGAAACTGCAAATTTTCATAAGTCAGGTGTCATCATCATTTTGTAATTCCAGCGCTTGGGAGGCTGAGGCAGGAGAATTGCTGTGACTTCAAAGCCAGTCTGGACTATACAGTGAGTTTAAGCCCAACCTGGAATCCATACTGGACCTTGTAACTAAACAATATTTAATCTTAATAATATGTAATATTAATAATAATCACCTATCATTCCCTGCAGGAACTGGCTGCCTCTGCAGGGTGGTTTGTGTCTCAGCTCACACTGACATCCTGTCTCTTCGACTCTTGCCCAGTAATACAGGGCACTGTCTATAGTTGTCACAGTGTTAAGCTGCAGTGAATAATGATAGTAATTATTTTATAATAATAACAATAGAAGAAAAACAATGTGCTAATTTTGTCACTATGAAGGAGGATTGTCTAATGAAGGAATAAATGTTTCAGTTTAGGGAATTAAATCCTTCATATCCCTCTCCACGCAGTCTCAGGTAACACAGCTCCCTCCTCTGCTGGGCCACCTTAGGAAACCTGGTCCCCAGGCTCAGCTCTGGCACCATGTGGAGCCCTGAGCTCAGGGGAGGAGGGAAGAGGGGCAGCTTGACTGGACTTGGGACAGCATCCAGAAGCAGCACGTGGTGTGCTCTTTCTGAACATGGTAGCTGAGCAGGACTAGGGCCTGCATTTCCATGAAGGAATTTAGCAATTAGGTTCATTTCTATTATGAATAGTGTTTCTCTCTCTCTCTCTCTCTCTCTCTCTCTCTCTCTCTCTCTCAACCATTTCCATATACATACCCATTTCATTTAAGAAAAATATATTTAAATTTGAATACCCACAGTTTCACAAAATTCATTTTTCTTTGCCAGAGCTCTCAACTTATTTGTTGTATTTCACTAGTTCTATAATGATTGATCACTCATCTGTGTGTGATTTTTCATAAAATACTATATGACTTGTGCAATCTAAGTTATGTCCCTCTCATGGTAATAGTTTCCTGTGAATCAGGCGTATACTGGCCAGAGGGAAATGATTCCCACTCCTGACTCTTTCACATTCATTGTTCCTGAAGGCTAAGCTGAGGTGATGTCCTCACACTGAAATCACTGCCCCTCTGAAGTGACCATGGACTTTGTGATCCAGCTCATCTTGTGAAGCTCAGAAATCCTCCATCTCTTCATCCTTCTCTGCTCCTCACCTGAGACCAGCATAATCACTGACCTGTGCTGTGTATAAGGACTGTGAGTTTCTGTCACTGGTGTGATGTCTCATGTGCACTTGCCCCATCCAGCCAGGGTAGGCATAGCTCCCAGAACACACCATCACCTGGAATGTAGCCAGTGTTTCTCTGTTGTCCATTTAATTTCTGCTTCCTGGGAAATCACTGATAATTTCTTATATGCATCCTGTTGTGTCTTTTTTCAGTGTTTTTTCAGTTTTAGAGATGAATATTAGGATATAATTTTATGAGGGGGGATCACCTTATTGATTATGCCCAAAGCAGGCTGTAAGCAGTGAAGGCTGTAAAGAGTTAACCATGCAATTGGCTCATTTTAAGAAGTGAGTCCAACTGAAGCTTAAGTGAATCATAGAAGCACCTCACATAAGGTGCTCATATGAGATAATACAGTAGCCAAGGTTGGAGTAACTTGCACCCAAATTTCATTACCACAACTGAACCCTTCTTAATTATAAGGACAAAGTTCTAATTCAACCCTATATGTTGTCTATTCTGTTCCTAATTCTAGAATGCTTTGTCTTTTCTTTTACGAGCTTGCCTGCATTAGCATCCATAGCAACTGCACAGGCACATTCTCACATGTAGTTTCCCTTTACCCCAATCTGACTATCAATAAAAATCTTGAAGACATTGGCATAGGAAAAGACTTCATGA